TTATATCCCAGCTCCCTGGCACATAGCAAACACTTCACCCTGTACAAAAGTAAAGCCGCTTAACATAAATTGTATTGCACCATCAGTATTATGAAAATACATCTTCTGTAGAAATTTACATACCTTGTTGGGAGGAATAAGATCAAAATGTTCCCACACAGGGGAGGACATCCTCCTCTTCTTAGCTGGCTCCATTCTCTTCTGAGTCTGAGGGGTTTATATATCGCTGTCATAGCTCGCGGCAAAGTCGGAACCACTTCATGAACCAGTCACGTGGTACAGCCGGGCAGCGAGGCTTCGGACGTCATCATTTTCAGCTCCTCCCATAAATACGCATCGCGGAAACGCCTCCTCCATTACTCGACACAAGCTTTGAAGCCTCGATAGAACCTTCACAGACATACAACCTCGATACAGAACGTCACATCACTACTTTAGAGCATAATGTAAAAATAAGAAAAAAAGATCAAATTAATATAAATATCATATAAAGTTAATAGATTTTAAAAAAAATATTTTACTGCTGGGGTCCTGTGTAATTCCTTTCCTCCTGTTGTTAAGGATTTGACCTTAAAGATTTCAATGACAGCAATAAAATTCACTCCAACCATCACTTATCCTAGCTGTCCTGTACTCATTTTAAAAATTAATCCTAAATACTGCAGTACAACAAATGTTGATGAGTCAGAATGATTTGGCTTCACTGAATCATTAAATTACATAAGTTTGAAGTAAGAACAAAACTGTCACAATTACGCGTGTATATAAACTCTTGATTTACTGCTTAGGTGAAGTTTAGAAGTTGCAATTCTGGGCTGATTTTTACTTGACAGGACTGAGGTCTGTTATTTGTGGAATGTTTAGCATATAAACAGCTCCCTCTGCTGGTCAGTACTATTAGTGCGTGTTATGTTATTGGATAATTAGAAATTATTATCTGGTGTATTATCTCGATTTTTCATCAGTTTCAATCCTTTATCAGTTCTTTCATCAATTCCAATAAATTGTCATTTAACAAAGGAATACATTTCTAATTCAAACGTTATAGAAAAAATATCAGTAGTATTCTCTTGTGGTCTGGAAAAATGTGGGCTACATTCATCCAAATCAACTAGTAACACATTATCCTAAGTAATTTTCTAAATGGCATTTTGGAAGCATTCTTACTCCATTTGGGGGATTCCAGATAATTCTTCTAATTTTCAGTATCAGGTTATGATCAGACAATCCAGCAATCAGGTTTAAATACTTTAAATTCTCCCAGTTACTAAACACAAATCCAAAGTGTGTACTTGCCAAAGTAATAATTCCTCTAGGTCCTTCAATTGCTTACATCAGATGAAATTGATCAGTTATTTGTTCAATCTTTCTTTCTAGCTATACTGTCTCTCCAGTTTATATTAAAATCATATTATTATAATGTTTTTCTTAGAATTATATTATTTTTTAACATAGTTTCAATTCAATTCTATTGAATTCATTTTTTCAATATAGCACCAGATCACAACAACAGTCACCTTTAGTTGTGATCTCGATCCCCAACAATCAGCCAGCTCAGCTACCTTTGAGCAAAGGTTTGGCAACAGTAATTTGCACGCCTGCATGGCTTAAGCCAGAAGAAAACAATCTGCAAATACCAGTAAAAACTGCTGGACATAGGTTCATGTGGTCTTATAATGATGGAGCCATGGCAGTTTCTTTTCCAGTAACTTTTAATAATAATAAAAATAATAATGATAAAAACAGAAATATGCCAAATAACTTCGAACATAAATGATTATACTGAATGCTGGATAAACTCAACATCAAGAACAGGAAAAAACGTCTTAAATGTGTGGTGATGATTAAGACGGGGCACAGAACAAAATCAAAAACGATAATAATTACAGTTTCAATTAAACAAAATACTAACGTAAGCAAGCAAATTTGTCTCCTTTTCACAATATAGTTTTTTATAGTTTTTGGTAAACATTTAGAAGTTAACTCGGAATTTCATAGGGCATACATGGTGGATGGACACGTTCTCTCTAAAACCTAATGAGACATGACATTTTACTTCATTTTATGACAGTCAATACAAACGTGATTATTAGTTCTCAAGAAAACCAACAACTGGAACGTAATGGAACGGAACGTCTAATAAAACATGGCTTCCTCTTATCAGGTTAAGAGATTCTGTGAATGACTTTTTGGAAAGTCTGTAATAGGAACTCCTGTGGTTTATGCAGGTATTTCATAAACCACAGACTCAAAATCAATAAGCTTCACCATTAGCTAGGTTTGTTACAGATTGGAGACTGCAGTTTTTAGGGACATCAGACATAAAGAAAAGGTGACATGGGACAGTTGAAGACAAATGACTCTGTTTCTTTACTGTGACTGTGTGTTTCCTGTTAAATTTGTGCTATATAATCATAATTTCAATTGCTCCAACAAAAGAATTGACCAAATATTGTCAGGTCTGCACTGGCAGACCGCATAGAAAGGAGAGAGTGGACCCAAATGCAGACTAAGGAGACGGAGTAGAACAAAAAACAAGCCTTTTATTTTTGGCTGCATAAAATACAAACTCAAAGAAAAGGGAGACAAAGAATAAACTAACAAAACCAAAACTGGGAAACAACTAAACACTAAGTACATGGAACATGAAGGTGAGACACAAAGGGAAACTTACACTGTAAATCCACAGCAGGATAATCAGGGAAGATGAAGCAGCTGGGGAACACAGGAGGAACTGAACATAACAGGGCAGTGGAAGCAAAATTGAACACAATGAACACATGATGAGAGAGTGTCAACACAAAACAGGAAGCACAACAAACACGAGGACAAAAACAAAGACACACAGGCTTTAGACTGTGACCAGGAAAGAAACAGACAAGGGGACATGAGTGACTGGGGAGACAGAAAGGGAACACGGATCATGGAGACTAAAGTAACTAAACAAGAAACCTGGAACACAGGGAAGGCACAGTGACAGAAAACTAAAGATAGAAACTGTAAATATAACATAAGCAGAAAACAACTAAGAGAACCAAAACAATGAATGACACCAAATCAAAGAATATTAATAAAACCCCAAAACACATAGACATTGACCATGACAAATATGGGGCAACAAAATTACCAATCATTATCACATCCACTAAAAAATAACTGTATGTAACATGATGACACATTTTCCATTCCTCTAAAACAGGAGTGTCAAACTCAAATACACAGTGGGCCAAAATTCAAAACTGGAACAAAGTCGCGGGCTAACATTAATATTTATTGAAAAAAAAATCTTCCTCCAGATATAAGAATGAATCTTTTCTTATGGACTCAAATAAGTTTTGCTGGAAAACTGAATATGGAACAAGCAAAGCTTAATACTAAACAATATATATATTAGCTGTATAATACCAGTAGGCCAGCTCTAATAGTAATTTGGTATGGCTTCGCGGGCCAAATGTAATTAGGCTGCGGGCCAAATTTGGCCCGTGGGCCAGAGTTTGACACCTATGCTCTAAAATATGCTAAAGTTAATAAGTACTTCAAGTTACTGACATATACTATGTTTTTTCTTTCCTTTAAAAATTTGAATTGATGCTTTGTTATTATAGTGCAAGTACTGGTAATCAATCAAGTTTTTAGATAATTTAAGTTACAAATTAAATTAAGAATAAAGGGGTCTGGGTTTTATGGTGCTTCACATCCTTCTTAGAGATGAGCACAGCGACCCCTTGGACTAACCCATCCTCTTTTATCAGGTTCTGCTGCATGAAAGTGGTTTCCGTGGGTCATTTTATTGAATACATGCTGATCTCAAGAAGTGCAGAAAAGACGATGACTCCAAGACCACCTATGGCTTGGATGGCTCAGAATGATGTAATTTCCTTAATGGTACCTAAGTATCTTGGTATGTCAGCTTGGCAGCTTTCAACCCAGTGTCAGGTGATCTCAGTATCTGGCCCTTATAGTGTCTTGCTCCAATACTTTGGATGTGTATATATTTGTAAGTACTTCTTGTGGTAATGGGCACATTGCTGAGTGTACATGGGAGCCATATGCTGGTGGTGATGTCTCTTTCAAACATAACTGCCATGCCACAAGAACCTTGGCTACAATGTAAAAACATTAACTCTGAGATGAGGGAAACACATGCTCTTTTTGTTGCCAAAAGACACCTAAAGAAAGAGGACTAAACTCTAAGCCAGCACCATGGTAACTAGGACACTAAATGTTTATCTTCAGACAAAAAATTCCTTGAATTCCTCAGACTGTATTAGTCTCATTGTACCCAACAGCACAGCCATAGTGTTAATCTTGGAACCCAGAAACTTTGGTTCAACCTCCCTGTCCTATATAATAGTAAATATTTTATAATAAATGTAAATATAAAAAGAGATTCATGTGAGGAGAGGAACTGAAGACATGGCATTTGATTTAACTTGTATATAAGAATATGCCTATATAAAACTAAAGACTAAATAATTATACAAAGCTGCAGTTTTGTTAAACGTAACATCATATCATTTATCTTATACAGTACATTAATAGGAGATAAGCTGTTATGCTAAATAATTACCATAAAATCGAATTATTCACATGGTGTTGTTGTAAATGTACATACAGACCAAATACGTTATACTCACTGATAGTGTTTAAAGTGTCACTTTCCACTTAACCAAATCATACTTGTTAAAGGTTAAAAGAACCAGTAAAATGAACAGGAAACAGAAACATATGTAATACTTATTTTGAAATTACTGACTCGCTCTTTTTTTCCAGGCCTTTTACAATCACTTTCAGCTCTGTAATGGTACAAACTTAATGCAAACTTAATGTATGACTTAAGAAACAAATGACATTAGCCATTTCCATTAAATTAACATTGTAAGATCAGTGAAATGGGCATAAATATTTATTAAACCTTTTCACATATTTCAAACAACACAGGTCTAGAAAGATTTTCTCTGAAGTAATATTGTTTCCTTATGGTTCTTTGTGTCATTAACAGCCTTACACATCAGTTTTCAAAGCTGAGTTGTATTTGTGCTAACTGACTTAGTATAACTCTGAGAGCGTTTCTCCTCTTCCTGGAAGGCAGTCTCCATTGCAGCTAGAATGGATTTGCAGACTTCTTTCTTAAAATCTTTGCCCACAAACACATACAGCAGTGGATTTAGGCAGCTGTTGAGAAAGGCCAAATTGGTGGCCAAAGGGATCCCAATGACACCACTTGAAGTGTCCATTTCTTTCGCCAGCACAATTAGATCCATAATATAAATGGGAGACCAGCACAGAAAAAATGTGATGATAATGGCAACAATGATCTTAAAGGGGCGACCTGATTTCCTTGCCAGTGTGTGGTTTCTTCTGAGATGATGGATTATTACAGCATTACAGGAGACAATGATAGAGAATGGGACTGCAAAAAGCACAAGGAAGCGGGCGATGATAATCGGTGGATAACGAAATTGTCGCAGTATATTGGGAGATTCTGCATTATAGTCATCAGAAATAGCGTAGCTATTTAAGCAGAGAGTTTTGTTTTCATTCTCACACGCTTGCTCTGTGTCCATGATGATGGAATATGGAAAGCCGATCATCAAAGCCACCCCCCAAACACCCAGAGTCACAAACAAGGCCTTACGTACATTTCGGTTGTTCTGAGCCCAGACAGGCCACACCACAGACACACATCTGTCTGCACTAATCACCACCAGAATGTAGACACTGGCAAACATGTTCAGAATAAGTACCATGGTGTTGAGCTTGCACATGAAGTTGCCAAAAGGCCAGTGGAAGTCTAAAGCAAGGTTTATTACATTGAGGGGTAGAAATGCTACAAAGATGAAGTCGGCCACAGCAAGGTTGAGGTACCAAACTGTGTTTACTGTTTTCTTCATCTTTAGCCCAGTCACCCAGATAACCAGTCCATTCCCGAGCACACCAAGGAGAAATATCAGGAAGTGAAAAATGATAGACACAGTGATGAGAGACTTTCGAATCTCAGGAGTAGTTGTACTGATGTGAATGCAAGAGTTGCTGGTTGAGTTACTGTTGGTCACCTCCATCATTTTCTTGAGACCTGCGGTATTAACATAAAGAAAGAACAGTATTAATGTATGTTAAAGTCAGTTTTAGTTTTTATACTCAATCTAATTACTCTTACATCACAACTTTATGTCAAATGCAAATTACAAAGAAAAGGAATCCTGTTGATATGAGCACTTAAAACATATTTTGCTAAAACAACACAAATAATGTTGAGTGTTTAGATTGAGGTACTAAAGTGGATGTAGATTACAATACTGATTAGCCCAAAAGAACCTCAAGAAGAGCAGCGATGATTTCAATTCATGAGTTGATGTAAACAATTAAAATCAGTTAAGTTATCTAATGTACTCTCTCATCTTTTGTCTCTCTCTGCAGCACAGTATCACTTCCTAATACAACACCTAGTGGTGCTATTCTGTAGTTTATCTGTGTAAACCATTCGATGAAAACCTTTTAGATAATGCCTTATTTTATGCTGTCAACTTCATGTGCTTTATTCATTCATGTATTGAAAATGACAGCTTCAGCCTGGCATTTAATCTATTATTAGACCCAATTGGTTTCTCTCAAAATGTAAAAGAACTCACCCACCGCTTTAACATCACTCTGGATCCTTTTCTGACATATGACATAGAAACTTAACATTTAACTGTAACTGTAACTTCTTTAAACCCTCCTTTTGTCAGATCGTTTCCTAGTAACATTTAAATTTACGATAATGGATTACAGTTCATAAGGGAATACATTTCATCAAATAGATGTCTTTCTAAGGGTCAGGTGCAGAGTGTGCTCGACAGTGGCCAGAGGTGTACACCCTGGTGGACTGAACCCCAGCTACCAAGACTAACAATTGGGACATGGAGTGTCAACTCTCTGGTGGGGAAGGAGCCTTAATCCCACTGAGTTGGTGTGCGAAGTTGAGAGGTACCGGCTCTACAGTCAGGCCCACTTCAATGCACAACTTGGGCTCTGGAACCAGTCTCCTAGAGAGGGGCTGGACTCTGTCTCAGTCTGGAGTTGCCCTTAACGAGAGGCGACAGACTGGGGTGGTTATTCTAGTATCTGCTCGGCTTGCTGCCATACATTGGGGTTTTTCCAAGTGGAAGAGAGGGTTTGTACACTGCACCTTCAGGTCTGGGAATGGATCCTGATTGTTGTCTGCGCTTATAGCCCAAATGACCCGGCCTTCTTGGAGTCCCATGACGGGGTGCGATTGGGAGGAACGGCTTGCAAGAATTTAACTTGTGTGGTGTTCTGTTACTGGACTTCTGTGCAAACCACAGGTTACCCATAACAAACACCATGTTCGAACATAAGGGTGTCCATAAGTGAACATGGCACCAGGACACTCTAGGCCACAGGTCGATGATTGACTTTGTAATCGTGTCATCAGATTTGCAGCCGTATGTTCTGGACACTCAGGTGTGGAGGTGCTGAGCTGTCAACTGATTACCACCTGGTGGTGAGTTAAATCAGGTGGTGGGGGAGGATGCTGGAAAGACCTAGCATCCCTGAAAATAGAGTGAGAATGCATTGGGAATGATGACAGAGACCCCGGTCTGCGAGCTTTCAACTCCCACTTCTGGCAGAGCTGTAAGAGCATTACGGAGGAGACTGGGGACATTGAGTCTGAATGGACAATTTTCAGATACACCTCTTCAAACACAAACAAAAGTAAATCATAACACATATGATGATGAACTTATGACAAGCTGAACTGAATCAGGGGAGGGACAGATGCTCCACAAACATCACTTGTGGACTTGTTTGGTGCTGCAGGCAGGCAGGCACTATCCAGGTACAGAGAGAGAAAGTGTGAAGCTGTTGGTGATGCGTAGCATTGTTGCTGAATTTTTGAACTCACATACACTTAGGTTATGTTTATTTGTTAAAGTGAGGGAAATTCCCCGCATCCTTTAAAATACATTGTTCAAATTGTAGAGCATTTCAAGGGGATTATATAGACTGGGTATCTTTAAAATAGACAGCGTACTTGCAATACATTTTTGGCTTAAAATAATACAACTCAAAATATTTCATGCATAACATAGATAATAACATGCATCTATAAAATGTTTCTCAGAGCTATTATTTTTAATCAGTCACATTTGATGTTGATTGTTAATTGAATCTTTCTAAATTTAGATAGAGAATTTTCATGTTCATTACTTTTATATATTCCTCATAATTAAACAATAAGACCAAATACTCAGATGTCTTGTATTTATTATGAAGGTATAGTTTGAAATATAATACTTTTGATTTTGATTTTCCAAACACATTACGTTTTTGTACAAAGTATCAGTATCGGGTCAGTTTCGCCGATAGCAGACTGAATTTTACTTCAGATTAATTTAGATCGTAAAGGAAATCAGTGGTATTGCACATCACTACCACAGACGCTGGAGTTTTTGCGCATCGTTAAATGCAGTTTGTCCGACACTGTCCGACAAATCAACTATGACAGCTTATGGGTGCAGACGTCCCGAGCTTGAGCTCCAAACGGAGCATTTACGTAGGGCCCAGTCTCTGACATTTTATATTCATTTTACAGTGAAACAGCTTTGAACCCCCCCCCCAAAAAAACCAAAAAAACCAAAAAAAAAAAACAGTGTTGGGAGTGGAAACCCGAAAGAATTTAAAAAGTCAATGAAATTCACTCTGTGTGCGCACACTGCCGAGAGAAGAAATGGAGAGGCGCTTTCATTTTGTTATAATCGCTGCATAGAAATATGACTAAAAGCACGACTCTAAACCATCTGGTCACTCTAAAAAAGAAAATTGGCGGTCTCTGAAGCAACCACAACTTTGTATGCGTCGTGTACACGACGCATACAAAGTTGTGGTTTGCAGCATGTTTAACTTATTTACAAAGACTACATTAGGTACATATTATGAAGTTGATGGTCAACCTGACATTGTGCGATACATGGGAGATACACCAATTCAGGGCTGGTCTTACCTAAATTCAGGGTGGATGGGGGACACAAAGCTAATCCATTTATTCCATATTTTGTAGAATTTGTCTTTTCGAATTTTAAAAAAGAATGTCAATTTTTCCATTTTAAATATTTCGAAAACCACATTAAACCAATCCTCAAGTGTTGGCGGAGTTGGATTTAACCACTTTCTGGTTATTGATTTTTTGCTGGCTGCTAATAGCGCTTGTAAGAGTTTTGTGTCCCCTCCCCGGACCGAGCCAGCAACCGAGCCCAAGTACAAATTTACAAAATTGATGTCAAATTTTATCTTAAAAACCTCACACAAAGTTTTATGGATTCCCAGCCAGTAATTTTTTAAGTTAGGGCAGTCCCAAAAGATATGATAATGATGTGCCTCTTCTGATCCACATCTTGTTGTGGATCCACAAAGTTGTGGTATTGGGATTCTTCCTGTCCCTCTGATGCTCCAAATTCAATTATAGTCTGTCCTGTTTCAGAGAAATACCTGTAATATTAAGTTTCATAAATATGTAGGGTCTTATCTAAAATCCATGGTGAGGAAGGTCTACGGATAAGAGCCAAAGATACGACTGTGCGCTCACAGCTTTGAGCCATCCATAAAAACATAAGTGAACACTCATAACAGCAACTATCACAAACGTAAGAGACACAGAATAAGTTTTGCTTTTTCAGAATTAATTCTAACACAATTTGCAGTAAATTGCTTCTGTTAATCATGCAAATCGCGTTTGTGTGATATGCCCTTCTTTCAGTTCGATAGCTTTTTTTTTAACTTAAGTGATTGAAATGTATTTACCTCAGCAGCCCAAGATACCCGATGTCTTCATCTTCCGTCTGTTAATTAACTAATCAGTGCTCCGTCTTGATGATCAGAAGCCCGCACTGCTAAGCTTTATAAAGCCATTCACTTCTTACGTTACCACTGACCACTGTAACTTTTGCTGGGAATCTAACTTCCTCCGGGGCAGTGTATGTTGAAGTTAAAAGATGAATAGCTATGAAATCACCGCCCACTAGCTAATCAGTTCTCCAGAAAATAGCGCATCTATGGAAAATTCCTCTGACGTCCGTGCGCTGATGGGGTCTAAAGTTTTTCTGTTTCCCTCGTGAATACTGCTATAGTTTCTTACATGGTTCACTGCTACAGACATTCGCAACTGTTTTGGTGCACGTCTCATCTAAATCTCTCAACTCATCAAGACAAATTGTAATTTTTCAGTCAGTGCCAAAGGTGCACAAAGAATAAGCGTTCTTTACCTAAGTAGAAGTACAGATTTTACATATACTGCATACATTTCTACCAGCTTTTGTGTGCAAAGTAACTGAATCTGTTTACTATATGATAAAAAAAAATTCACATTGTAATCCACACAAACCTGTTTATTTTGCTCAGAATTGCCACAACTGCTGAGTAGTTTCATGCAAACTTTGAAGAGCACGCAGTATACACCTCAATTTGTATTGCATAAATGTTTATGTCTTCCATTAAACCTTTGTCACTGTTCTTGGCTTACTGGTGTGTGACAGTGTGTCTGCTGTTATCAGGGGAGTGTAAAATAAAGTAACTGTTAGTGGTATGTAATTCCACAATTTTTGGTGTCAATCTGATTTCAAGTAAGTAAAAGTGATAGTGGTGTGTTATGATTTATGTGATATATAAGTAATTTGCCAAGCTTGAACATATTTTAATAACCTCTAAATCACTGAGGTTTTTACTTTCCAAAATAAGTAGTGAACCCAATAAAATATATAATATATGATTTCCGAATATCATGATTATTTTTTTGGGCTCTATCAGTGGTATTCACTTATAGTGTTTTGCTCACAGGAGTTGCCCACAGCATTTGTTTGCAGTGAATTGCTTCAGACAGCTCACTGAACTGTCTGCTTGTAAAGTTGCCTGGCTATAGCAGCTGTGTGTGGGTCTTTGCCCAGGATTGTCCTGGGGGCTCAGGCTGCCACAAGAAGTGTGGTCTGTCATTCCCTCTATGGCGGCTTTTTGTTTTTTTGGTGGCAGCCTTATCTCAAACAGGCTTTATTATTTCTGCCCTAATCAG